TTGCCACTGTGGCAAATTGCTTGCTCATGGTGGGAACTTCTGTTATGATTTGGCACTATATAAATGAAACTGAATGAGCACATTTTGTTTGTTTTGTTACCTCAAAATTGCTTACAAAAATGCAAAATGTAAAAAAACCCTCAATATTAATTTCTCCTATATGAACACTGTACAAGCACCTGCTGCAGTCCCCTGAACCATCCAGGACTGGCAAAAATCCAGTCCAAATGGCCAGACTTAGACAAATGCCTTTATTTGTAAAAGCATGGCATTCCACAAATGGGACCTTTGCAGTCAGTGTGAAAATAGCCTTTGGATGTTTTTGCACAGGCTGGATGTAGCCAGCTTTGATTGCTCTGTGGCACAGTCAACCACGCCAACCTGGGACGGTCTCCTCTCTAAAACCAAGCCATGTCTTGCACTAAACTCAATCTGTTGTGGCCTTCTGTTCCTCTTTGTACTTTTAAATATAAGAAACATTATGGTGTCCTGCTCGCTCTCTTACAGGCGTATTGGAGATAAGTGAATTTACTGCTTATGCAAACCAAACATTTCCTGCTTCATATCGAAACCTTTTCACTGGCAAACCCGCATGAGGCTTTTTTCATGAAGCAGCAATAGGAAATGAAATTAATTTGTCACCAAAGAGTTATGCTCAATAAAACTGGTCTACACAACATGATGTAGAGATTTGATTAGTTTTAAATATTGATGGGAGGAATATTAGAACAGTATAGTATAGTCACAGCAATAACAATGCAGGAAACAAGTAAGTGACAGCAAAGCCACAAAAACACAGTAAAGAGACCCGATAAGGAGCTGATAACAGTCAGTTATGAAATATCAGTGAAGTGGTCCTGCTCTGATTTCATAAAGGTCAACCCCCCACATACATCTAATACACTCTGTTAAGACTGCAGTGACATTTTAATCACTTTCATACATTTTATTAAATGTCATTTTTATTTGATTAATTTATTTGTGAAATGAATTGGGGATTCCTTACCATTGAATGTGTGTGGCGAGAGTCACATGGTCACATGGTCCAGGATTTGTTTCACAGGCTTTTTAAGAATGGTTGTGTTGAAATGAAAATGGTAAAAGTGAAAAATACTGTTTAAAAACAAAACAGCAACTTTAAAAAACAAAAAACACCGATCCTCCCACTCCCAAAGTAGGCAAACAAAAGGAGTATGGGAAGTAGAATCTGCCATGTACTAATACTAAATAAATGGAAAGAAATGACCATGACCAAGAAAACTAAAAAGGCACCATGTTTTATCATTTATGTTAAAAAATTATTTAAAATAAAGGCTGATTTAGTGGAATTTCAATCCTGACTTCAATAAAGTCTTGAGGAAACCCTAAAATTGGATTAGATATGGTGAAATTAGTCACTGTCAGAAGATGCGTTTTCCAATGTCTTTCAGATCTAATTTGCTTAAGTGTTAATACACAAATGATTGCATGAAAGAGGAGAAAAGATGGCCGCTTTTGACTGAACAGCAGGGATTTATGGGTAAATGACATGTTATTTGAATGTCCAATATATACTTAAAATTTGTCTGATTTCCTTTTGATGTCAGTATCATATGGCACCCATCCATGCCAAACTCCTGAGGGGGAAACGGCTCAGTGAGGGGTGTTTGAACTGAACTGACAATATCATGGCCAAGAAGCACCAAAGCCAACTAGACACCATAAAAGTCTTTTATTCTGTACACAGAGAGTGGGGAGTGGGGAAATTGAAGCGTCCCCAAAATAATATGACACTTGGGTTAATGAGCTCACACTAAACTTTTAGGGAGTCAATCTGCCAAAACACTTCCTGGAAATTCCCTAAAGTATTAAATATAGTACTGGTACTGTAGCTGAACTGAGAGCAATTATGTAACAAGTAATTATTTATTCATTAAAGTCCATTTCATTGGGAAATGGGAGTTTGTCAGAAATCCAACTTTTATGACATAACCACAGCTGGCTTTATGATCAGTCGAAGCGCTTAATCTGTCCGTCTCTCAGTCACTCAGCACAGTGCTCCTTTCTGTCAAAGCTAACATGCAAATAACACTTATCTGCCTACACTTATACTGTGTATGTCGCAGTTTACTTTGCAACGACTCGCAGTCTGTTTTTTTGAAGCCACACTTCCGTGTTACATTCAGTAACAGTCCTAGCTCATTATTGGTCCTTGCAAAAAAATTTGGTCTGATTCTTCGTCTGCATCACTTTATTCTTTCGCCAAATCTTCTGTAACTACGGAATAGACCATCTGCTTCATGTTTACACCGGCACGCACGTGGCCAGTGTACGTGAACAGCCAATAGATGTACGTTTTCAGTCGTTGTAATGTAGACGGAGATCAACTCTAAAACGCTGGTGTGGACAGAGATCGTTTTAATTCACCGTTTATAAACTACAACGGAGTAGTGTGGATGGGGCCTCAAAGTGTTTTAACACCTAACTTGTTTATAGTAATTCAAATTTTGGGTCGTTGAGGTTGGTGTGAAGCTGCAAACTAAACTCTTGTCATCAGTTGCCAGTGGAGACTCCGGAAAGTCACTGACCTTGCCAAGAAATAGTTCCAGGATGCAACTCCCAGTAAAACGACAAATCATTCAATTAAAAACACGAGGGCTAATGTGTTAAGTAGTGAGCTCTGGAGGTGGCGTTAGGCGGATTTTGTGACCTTTGACAAGAGCTGCCCCCCCCCCCCGGCTTCCAGTCTTTATGCTAAATTAAGCTAACTACAGCTTCATATTTAGTTTACAGATGCAAGCCAGGTATCGATCTCAATCTTACTCTTGGCAAGACAGCAAATTAACATAATGTGTGACCATCCGAGCCAGCAGCAACACAAGTTTAAGCTTTTCACATTCAGCTGACGTGTTTAAGTCTGTGCAGCCCTGGAGGCTCAGTCATCTGTGATGTGAGCTGATAATTCCTGGTCGACTGCAGCCTCTGCTTGTGTATACAAAGGCAGTTGGCACTATGGACTGCCGGAAATATGGGTCTGAAGGAACATTATAGTGCAGCTCAGACCGTGTATCAGAAGCATTTAGGTGATGCTGTCTCAAAATGTTCAGCATGTTTATGGAGACATAATCAACAACTCTTTGTCCAGTGTGGCTGTAACTTACTGAGAAACCATATGTCTTCCAAATGACTGATTTAAATGACACCGGCTCTTTTTCCAGCTTCTCATTTACCTTCGCCAAATGATCTACATATCCAGGGGCTAACTCCAACTAGCACGGTCAAGCTAACAGATCATGACCGTCTCACTGCCAAAGCTTCCTGGGTTGAACGCATGCAATTTTATGTGCTAAGATGTATAGTTAATTAGATTGTATTATGCCAATTCAACAGAAATTATTCGGTTCTTAGGGTATAAATATATGTAACAATGTTTAAGAAAAGAATGTAGATTTTATTTGATCTGCCCGTTATAAATCTGATCGGAACATACTTCTTCAGAGTCAAAATCAAAGAGAACACACAAAAAATAAAAGGGATGAATGAGCATCCTAATTTATTTCATTATGTTAATTTAGGAGGAAGCAACCATACTAATTCCATATCTACTTGCATATCTAATACATCCCCATGCAAGCCAAATACATTCCCCTTCACTACATAAAATGCAACATAATGTAAAATTCAAAAACCAGAGGTAATTCAGAAAAGAGACAGACCAACGGACCACCCATCATGTCAGTAATTAATTTGTTTGACACCACTGCGAAATCCACACACACACACACACACACACTAACAGCATACCCAGAGGTAGCAGAGTGCAGGACAGGCATGACTAATCAATCGTCCTCGCCACAGGAGTCAACAGGCTGACTAGAGGATTAACGAGTTTCCCCTTGAGACTCCAGATTCATCTGTGGCACCACAGATCTGTTACACATCCACAAATCGTGACATCATACATGCACATGGTGCTTTACATCTACTTTTCTATTATCCCCCCCCCCCCCCGTTTGCCACTGTGTTGGACAAACTGTCCCCAAACACACCATGCGGGTAAAAATGGCCAACCACTCTAAAGTAAAGTACTCAACTTCTCCCCAGAGCTAGTGCCAACCAATATAGACAAGATTGAATATTTTGGTCCACAAACCTTGGCAGTGATAATGTGATATTTTAGGGATAATTCTACATTTTAAATAAGCTATTTGACATACAGTAATTAAACAATCCATGGTGACCACTTCCAAGAAATCTAGCTCAGAACACCATCAAATGCTAATTAGCAAATAAGCACCATAGTTAGCTGTGTCACATCACAAAACCTGGAAACCAAACACTAAAATTAACCCTGACTTTCATTAAACTTCCACTCAACAAGAACAGGATTGAGAGCAACATCTTGATCAACAAAGTTCCAGATAATATTCAGTTTCATGTCAGGGTGACATCTTAGTCAGCTCTTCCCAAAGTAGTAAGTTATTAACCGTCAACAATTTGGATAACTGAATTGACATCAAGAAAAAAATGCTAATTATTTGCTGGTTTCAGCTTCTCAAATGTGAGGATCTGCTGTTCTTTATCTTGGTAAATTCATTTATATTTGGGTTTTGAACTGTTGCTCAGACAAATAAGCAACCCGATGACATCACCTGTGATTCTGGGAAACTTTCACTACTGTCTGACATTTTATATACAACAACTAATTGATTAATTCAAATAAGGTTATTTTATATCAAATCGTTGACCTCATTTAGTATTTAAATCAAAATTATGAGAAAAATCATTAAAACTATATTTTAAGTGAGAACTTTAAATACAAAAGATGTATTTAGCATATGACTGTATTTCATTATATTTATAAAGGTCATAACTATGAGAGACTCAATTTCCATTTTTTGGGGAGAAATGTGCTTCTATTTGCAACTGACTTTTTTGAAACTCATGTCTTTATGTTGCATTAATCATCCGAACATCTTAAAGCAGCATTAAAAAAAAACACCAACATTTGTTTCACTCACTGATCTGCGACACCTTCACAGTCAAAGGGCTGGACGTTTTCTCGGCTGCCATGTGCCACCTCCTTCCTCCTTTCTCGATGAAGGCTCGGATGCGGCAGGTGTACGCCCCTCCGTCCTCCCCACTCACCCCTGTCAACCCCAGCCTGTATTCTCCAGCTCCCGTCCGCTCCAAGGTTGCCTCCCCTCGCTTTCCTTGCGCGCTGCTCGAGGAGGTGTTTGAGATCACTACCCCGCTGCGCTCCATGGTGATGATCTCGCGGCCGTCAGCCAGCCAGGTCACTTCCAGGGCGAGGGCGGGCAGGTTGTCGGCGGCGATGGAGCAGAGGAGGCTCAGTGTGTTACCGGGGGAGAGGAGGAGAGACGTGGAGGAGGGGGAGGAGGAGGATGAAGCATTCACGCTGAGGGACCGACCTTGAGAAGACGGAGACAGAGTTAGTCCCTTCATCATTATGTGTACAGGCAACATAAACAAGATGATGGCTTAACACAAAGACTCCTTTGGTCCTTAATAAGTGCTACAATTTTAAAGATTTGTCCGCATTACTGAAGTATTCTGCACAAAGACAACAATACCAGACTCTGCAATCAAATCAATGAGTAGAAGAAAAGGTATGGCGATTAGTGGACTTTCAGTGTCTTTAGTCTGGGCTGAACATGTGTAAGGAAAGCCGTTTTCAGTGTCCACTGATTTTTATCCAGAAAATTATTAAACAGTTATTTGGCTGTTTAATCAGTTAACTCACACAAAAATAACTGATTCTGAAATTCAGATGATGATACTATACTGATCAGACTAAACAGTTCAACATCACATACGGACTGCTGACAGAGAAAACAACTGAAAACTTAAATGATGAAGCCTTTGAGCCATATGATGTTGCTCCACTATCATTCCCTTGGGATGCACTTTTTAAGCAAATTACATCAAATCAAGTTCAAAGAGTTAATTAACAGAATAATTAAATTCTGATAATGAATTATGAAAGTTAGTTGCAGCACTTATGTATATTGTAATCAGTGGCGGCTGGCCAAGAGAGGGCGCCATCCTCCCTGGTGGAAAAGTTTAGATTTTTCTTTTTAAAATAAGTTAAATTTAAAACATTTTTGAAATAAACAATAATTACTTGTTTTAAGTATATGTGTGTCTAAAATTCACAATAATGTGCAATATATAAAATATTGTCACCCTAAGCAGAGTCAGTCAGTAGAGTAGGGACACCTGACGTTATAGATAATGATGAATGCGGAACTCAAGTCAGTGGCTTTCAGCCGCCCACAAATTCAGTAAGATCTGATCTTCAAAATCCATTTGAGAGGAGAACTTTGGTAGAGAAACAACATGTCAAGAGCTTGTCAACCTGACATCAAAATCAGCCAACAGGATAGCGAGAAAGGTAACATACGTGCGAGGCTTCTTCCGCCATTGGCACAATAGAAAAGCTTGGCTAGTTGAGCTGGCCTTGCTCTACCACAATGAGACCGAATCCTTTGACAACCCTGGCGTTTTCAGTAGATCTTGTTGCCTCGGTGGACAGTGTGTTGGAGGCGCACCTTAAGACAGCTACTGTTTTCAAAAGGCATCTCAACGACTGTGCAAAACAAACTTTTGGACTGCATGCTGTCAGTTCTTAAAGATTACATTCTCGAGGAAGTAAAAAATGCTGAATATCTTTCTATTCAGGCAGATGAGACAACTGACATTTCGACCCACTGACAGCTGGTGCTTGTGCTACGGTACAGCGGTTGGCTACAGAGGTAAGCTGTATAGTTTATAGGCAGCTCTGAAGTGTTAAGATGTAGTCATTTCCAGCGGTGGACAGTCACTTAAGCAGGCCTACTGTACTGAAGTAAAAATTAGAGGTATTTGTACTGTACTTGAATATTTTCTTTTCATGCCACTTTCTATGTTTATTTTCGTAAGTTTGTTTTTTGTAAGAAACTTTTTAATATTGGCATTACAGGTGCTGGTCATATTAATTAGAATGTCATCAAAAAGTTGATTTATTTCAGTAATTCCATTCAAAAAGTGAAACTTGGATATTATATTCATTCATTACACACAGACTGACATTTCAAATGTTTAGTTCATTTAATTGGGATGATTAAAACTGACAGCCAATGAAAATCCCAAATTTAGTATCTCCGAAAATTAGAATATTACTTAAGACCAATACAAAAAAAGGATTTTTCGAAATGTTGGCCAACTGAAAAGTATGAACATAAAAAACCATCACTGATTGTGGAAACTTTACACTGGACTTCAAGCAACGTGGATTCTGTGCCTCTCCTCTCTTCCTCCAGACTATGGGACCTTGATTTCCAAAGGAAATGCAAAATTTACTTTCATCAGAGAACATAACTTTGGACCACTCAGCAGCAGTCCAGTCCTTTTTGTCTTTAGCCCGACGCTGTGTCTTGTTCAAGAGTGGCTTGACACAAGGAATGCGACAGCTGAAACCCATGTCTTGCATACGTCTGTGCGTGGTGGTTCTTGAAGCACTGACTCCAGCTGCAGTCCACCCTTTGTGAATCTCATTTTTGAGTGAGTTTTGTTTCACAATCCTCTCCAGGGTGCGGTTATCCCTATTGCTTGTACACTTTTTTCTACCACATCTTTCCCTTCCCTTCGCCTCTCTATTAATGTGTTTGGACACAGAGCTCTGTGAACAGCCAGCCTCTTTAGCAATGACTGTGTGTCTTGCCCTCCTTGTGCAAGGTGTCAATGGTCGTCTTTTGGACAGCTGTCAAGTCAGCAGTCTTCCCCATGATTGTGTAGCCTACAGAACTAGACTGAGAGACCATTTAAAGGCCTTTGCAGGTGTTTTGAGTTAATTAGCTGATTAGAGTGTGGCACCAGGTGTCTTCAATATTGAACCTTTTCACAATATTCTAATTTTCTGAGATACTGATTTTGGGGTTTTCATTAGTTGTCAGTTATAATCATCAAAATTAAAAGGAATGAACCCTTGAAATATATCAGTCTGTGTGGAATGAATTTATACATTATACAAGTTTCACTTTTTGAATGGAATTACTGAAATAAATCAACTTTTTGATGACATTCTAATTATATGACCAGCACCTGTAAATCATTTCTGACTATTTCACAGAGCACTGGCACAGTCCCACCTAAAATATTTTTCACCAGCCACCACTGATGGTAATGATTATGTATAGTTGAATATAAAAGTCAGCCTATCTATCAAAATAATGGAGACAGAAAACAGGCGAACAAAAGATAGAGGGGAGAAGATTGAAATGTGAATCCGTTTAGCTTATAAACCATCAGAGGCAAAGTTAGTTGAAACTTAAGATAAGAGTATATATTCTTTAAAGACAATGTAAACAGTCATCCTTAAATGTCAGCGATTTAGAGGAGAGCACAAGAAAACTTTTGATTTCCAAAAGCACCTTTCATCAGTGGTGCTAAAGAAGAACTTTACAACCCTCTCTATTAAAAAGTCCAGCAAATTAAAAACAGTTGTCAGTCTCTTCTGTGAATCTTCAAACCAATTGGATCAGGGGTTTGGATACGGTCTCCAGTAACAACCTAGGCTGCAGTATGTGGGAAGAGTCTCTGTATGGTGTCTGAAAAAGGACAAAAGACACAAAGCCCACTCGGTATGGCTTTTCTTATCCTCTTTACTCAAGTCAGTAAGTCAATATGAACAGACTGGGACACAATGGACGGGAGACCGAGACCTGTGTGTCCAGCTCATCTCTGGTTTCATTACAACCCACTGGGTGTTTTTCCAGCACTTTAAGAGGATATGGTAGACCAGAAAGATCTAAGATATGGTGACCACAGCAACCACTGTGAATGAGTGAGAGAGAGAGAGAGTGTATGTGCGTGTGTGAGTGTAGGGGCCTCTCTGAGGACAGAGTGAGACAGAAAGACAGACAGTGAGGGTCACGGGCCTCGTGGGACAGAGCGAGGCAAAGAGGAAAAAGAGTCTCACAGAGGAGAGGACTCTATTAAAGTAAAAGACAGCCACACAACAGAGAGAGAACTCTCCCACGTCCCTCCCTCTCCTCCTTCATTTTCTTCCAAAATCACTCCATATCCAACTAAGTAGCACAGGAAACTGTGAAACACATACAGTGTAGTTATCACTTTCATCAAGAACCAAGAAAGAGGCTTGAAGATTATTGATTGCTCCCTTTAGTGTAATTATCATCTCCAAATTTCGTAACAATACTACTACTTCATTTATAATTACTTATTATTAGTGAAAGTAATATAGTAATGTAACGAGTAATGAAACTAGTTACTTTTATCAACCAGTAATAAGTAAAGTAATTTTGCTTTAAGGAGTAATAAGTAACGGCTTACAATTTCTGAGTAACTTTGGGGAAGACGGTGTGGAGTGAGAAGGAAATGGCTTTACCATTTTCTAACTTGTAGTCTTCAGTCCTAATGGACACTAACTCAAGTCACCTCTCAGGTATTTGGCCATAAACCAAAGTATTGGGCAACGTGATGATGACGCTAGATGAAAAGACCTTCATCTGTCACGATATTTCATTCTGGACCACAGTGGTGGTCTGACCTACTGGCCGACATTTGAATCCCTAGAGGCACGTCAGTAGCTGTGGAAATCGTGGGAAATAAAAGCATTGTATTATTTAAGAGAAATAAAATGCCAGAAACTCTTCTTCTAAACTAACTGTTACTGCAACTATTACTGCATTTACTACTGCTACACTGATAGTGATGCTGCTTCTGCTGTTACTACTATTATACTTTTGCTGTTCTTTTTCTTACCTGTAGGAGTAACAGCAACAGTGCCCATCTCTTTTGTGCTCTCCACGATTTTTATCCATTTGCCATTTTCATGCGTCCATTCCGTCCCGTTGCATTCATAAATCCCTTCGTCAGACGATGTCACTCTGGAAATCACCAATTCAAACAATCCATCCTTCCCAGGAACCAATCGAATGCCTCCGTCGGCGTAGCGCCGGGTGTACTTCAGCCCTGTGACCACGTCTCCCTGGGGGCCAAATGTCAAAATTTCCTCCGATGTCGTTCCCTTCTTCACCGACCAGGTGACAGACAGGTAGGTGGGGTGGGTGAGTTGCCGGGTGATGTTGCAGGAGAGTGTCATGTCACTACCTTCTGGGACAACTGGGGGCGGGGTCTGGGAGGAGACCCTGAGGGTGTTGGGGATGACTGACGGGAAAAAGAGAAAAGATTTTAGGAATACACATGAATATCACCGAACACAAAGACAAGAAACTTCAAGCTCTCAACACACATCCATTTCTTTCTTTATTTGCCACTGTGGAGTGCTTTCCACCTTTTACAGTGACAGGACACATCTGCCAGGCTTGAATCAACTTACTTGCTTTTAAAAGTAAATATTTAGTCTAAATACAGAGAATTACTGCCTGCATAGAAGATAATTTCCATTTGCTTGGTGTGTCCGTAGCTAAAGATACTTCTGCAGTTGCTTCCTTTGCTCTGTATTCTTACAGCTGCTTCACAGTAAGACCTTCTACTGATGACAATTTACACTTTTTACTAGGAAACTACTGCAGAAAGTGTGTGTGTGTCAGTCGAAGAGAGTAGTTTGATTTTAACTGAGGTTACAAGTTGGTTTAATCTACTTTCAAATGCTGGACGCACCTTTTACAGTTTAGTGTACATCAAACCTCTTGCTCATTAAAAAAATAAAACTAAATATGCTTATATTGGTGTTTGTTTAGATTTTGTCTTTTTTATTACTTTTGTATTCTTCTTTGTTGTTACTGGTACAGAGTTTGTATAATCAGCGGCACATTTGCATTTTCTCCCCATTTGTCTTCACTGTCTATTACTGGAGGCATATTCAGAGCTGTGTGCAACAAGAAGGTCTTGATTACTGCAATGATCTGTTTAAAACAATTTCCACTTTTACAAAGCTGCTAATTCTTTAGCAAAAAAACAGAAGCAAAGACATAACGACACAATCAAGGTTCTTTTTCTTTTTTGTTCTGCCCCCCCCTTCCTTCAGCACTTTGATGTTGAGCAGGGGAAAACATTGTATACATGTAGGAAATGAATGATCCTGACAGATAACGTGTTGAAATGGACGTATGTGCATGTAAAAACAAAAAACAACATCAAAAGGGAGTTAAAATGTAAAACAAAAAGAACTACTAAACTTCACTCAAACTAAAAAGTTTCAAGATTCAACTATTAAATGCAGGTATTTATTAATAAGGGCTTACCAAATTTATAGGTCAATGTGTCACAGTTAAGCTTCCTAAGTCAGATTTTTTTTATATATATATATATATATATATATATATATATATATATATATATATATATATATATATATATATATATATATATATATATATATATATATATATATATATATATATATATATATATATATATATATATATATATATATATATATATACACACACACACACACAAGATTAACGTAAACTTCCAGGACATTAATATGTCGTAATATTACGCACAATGTAAAACTCTTGTACTGTTATCAAGGTCACTGGCTGAATGAGAGTTAAATAAACAAACAGCTCCTGATAATACAGTGAATTTGTGACTGTGTGTGTGTGTGTGTGAGAAACACACCCAGGGGAGTGTCCATAAAGGTTAATGACTTGCCTGCTCAGGTAACACAGTAAACTATTTCACTCTCACACCAGCAGATTTTCCTCCACTCTCACTCTGCGCTTGTTTTTTGTTCCGACAATGAGAAATTTTTTTTTTAAAAAAGGTTCCTGGTTAATTTGAAACTCTGGTCTCTTCCTGAACTGCACCGGCTGCTAAATGTGACATTCAAGAGTTGGAGCAGGTCTTAACGGAGCAGCTTTTGCCATTGCTTTGTTTCTTTTCTTTTCTTGTTATGACACATAAACAAGGATCATGAGTCACTCAGCGAGAGGAAATAAAAAAAAAAAAAAAAACTGGGGAAGTTATCACTGCTGGATATGCTGTTGGGAGCTGTGCCTTGCTTTCAAATGCCTCCACAACAACAACACCACAAATAAGTTTCACCTCTGCTTTTCACAACAGGGAAAGTAAAGGAAAAGACATTAGATCCTTTGACGAATGGCACGTCTGCAGTGAAGACGCGGGGGGTTAATAATAAAACTGTTAGGCTCAGTAATGTTGATGGATGACTGTTAAACACACATTACAGGCTTTGCTTTATCATCACCACAGATTTCTTTTGATCCTTTACATATGAAAAACACTAAATTACACCAAAAAATGTAAAATACAAGTAAAGACTTCAAGGTTCACATCTACAAAACTGACTTCAGGTCTGATATCTAATTAATAATCTACCTATAAAGACATATAAAAAAGAAATATAAAACCATCTACTTATAAGTAATCATAGCCCTAAACCTTTTCCAATTTGAAGTTTCATCCCCAAATTTACATAAATGGTGAATTATCCTTTGGAAGCTAGTTCTAGTTGTGTAACAAATGAATCCAAGAAACAGCAGATGGCTGGGAATGAGGAGTACGAAGCTGTGTATTGTGGGAATTACATTTATGCCATATTCACGTCCTGTGGGAAAGATACATTTTTTAAGTGTTCAGAAAAAAACGTTTTTTTGTCTCAGCTATAAATGTTGAATAAAAGACGTACTTCAGGAAATAATCTAGCACTTTATCCATATTCAGGTGGCAGCCTTGAACAACTTTATCGAGGAGGTGGAGAAAGAAGGTGCTGGCTGTGACACAGTATTAGAAAACTAAAGGATCCTGCGTCAGCTCTAAGGAGTGGCAGTTACACGTCCCAGTCGGATTGGGTAAAGCAGTAATATACTACACCTACTCTACCTGTTCGTCTACCCAACAGGCTTTTGGCATAGCTCTTAGTTTGGTTATGGCATACATATTATTTTCAAGATAAACTGGCTAATCAGATGGAGTGTCAGTGGTAGCACAGGTCTTCAACACATTGGAAATACAGCTATATAGATGATAGTGTGTGTCTGTGTTCACAGTAGAGAACCAAGATGGGATGCTTTTAAAAATGTCAAATGAACACTTCTTAGATTTGTTCCATGTTTCATATAGAGGATGGGGTTATGCTCATTGTCAGCGGTGTCTGCCAGTTAGAGAAACAGCTGGCCAATGAGAGATTTGTAGGGGGGGATAAAGAACGGGCACATCATCTTCCTACATAGCTAGCTAGCTAAAACAGTGATAGCAAAATGGCAGCAAGCTGTGGATGAGATTGATGCAGTTGAGCAAGCTGTCATAAGCCTGGCTGCTGTCAGAAGATCCGTTATAAACTGTAGTGCGCTTGTTTTAATATTCTTGAACTAGTATTTTACATGTTGTGGCACAGAATCAGTTGCTCAGAGAGTGCTATGGCACTGAGATAAGGTTTCTTCAAAGGGTTAAAGTATTTTAAACATAGGCAACTATAAAGTTCGTAACAGGGCGATACTGGACACCACCAAGACTAGTGGAAGTTGGAGTGCATAGTACTACTGCTGCTGTGCTGCAGTGATTTGAGTGTCTGTGGCAGATAACGAAGGCCGTACGAATAATCTGCGTTTTGCTCTATCAATTAAAATTAGCCTGAAAGGAGATTTCAAACCCTGAGCGACCTGTACTTCACTTGCTTCTTACATAACCAAAAAGCCTCAGTGGGGCGATGGAGGCAGCGCGTGGTTGTGTGTGTGTTTATGAAAGTGAGTGCCGACGAACGTGATGCACAAGCCTCGACTGGTATACACCCTCCGGCAGAAAAATCTAACTCCTCATCTCTTGTTAACGACTAACAATCTCCTTCACACACACATTCTCCCCTTTGGACACTACAAAACACACTACTCACTAATACACTACTGCATGTGCTCCACATATACACGACACAATCTGTCTTGCACATAAACAGCGCTGCCTAGTTAATTCAGGTCTAAATTTAACAAGGTGTCTGGGGAGCCGTGCTGGGAAGCAGAGAGCAGCAGAACATGATGGTGCATTATGGAGCTAACTAACCTGCTGTCAGACAATCCCTGTTTGTGACTTCATCTTTCAAATCTGAGGGCTAATAGCATGAACTCTTCCTGAAACCCCTCTTTCTATAAATTAAAAAAACAAACAAACAACAATTTAAACAAATAAAGTTGTCAAAATGGGTGTGTAATAATTACTGACTGGATAACTGCGAGTGAAAAACCAATTAAATTCAAAGGAAAATGCTGAACATGGGGTTTTTCCTCTTTCCCTCCGTTTCAGAAAATAGTCCAAATTAAAACTGTACACAGTAAGGTCCGTAGAGGATCCTATGGACCAGAAAACTGTTTCTGGACACATTATCACCTCTACAAATAAAACCCTAAACTTGCAGAATTGGCTAGATATCACCAGGAAAATTTGGTTCATGGTGCTGGTGAACAGCACACATTGCCATGGATGGAGATCTATAAGAAGGCTACTATAGACCATCAACCTGTTGGTAAGCCTGTAAATATTAAGACATTCCTCTCTATTTCCTACCTTCATTTAGTAAACTAAACAAGTCTGATTATCGGGGTTTGAGGCTGGAACAGTTTGGGTTTTCACGCTTAAAAATTGTACCAATGCTAGTTTTAAACTTTAAATGAGAGTACTTTAAGGGATTTATTTGTTTGCCAGGAAGTTAAAAATGTATACTTTTCTGGTATATTTGTATTACCCGGTCTCCTAAAAATGACATTTGTATAGTACTGATTTTCAAGTGCATATACTGCCCGGATTATGTTTTTTTTATATCGAACGTGTCTGCCAAGAAGCGTTATATTTAGGTAACTTAAAGCACTTAATAAAAGTTGAGGAACAATTGTGGTACTAGTTTAATATTAAATATCTCAACACTGACTTAAAGCACAATACAGGAGATCTCTTTTTTTAATATTTAAGCAAAACTATAGTCATTCCCCTATCATGACCACAATGCTAGCGTAGCTTAATGCTAAACAAACATGGGATGCAGGACACACATATACTGTATGTTATTTTTTAACAGACAAGTTGGTATGAGGAAGTGCTGTATCCATCCATATCTGACCAGTAATGGGGTTATGCAGGCTGTAGATCAGCTTCCTGCTTGTTGACTTGTAAATGGCTGCCTAGTCCAGGCAGTTAACTTTCTTGTAAAGCAGGTTGCGTTTTTGGTTAATCTCATCATCATTCATGCTGATGATTTCCTCCCTGCTGTGCTGATCTTCAGCTGCTGTTCCCATAATGGTGCTGAATATGCTATCAGATGTAATGTCCACAGGAGTTTTTCCTACTTAAGTGAAGGTGTTCTTGAAGTAGACAGTGAGGTCTAATATCTTCATTTCATAGATGATTTGATCAATTGTGATGTTAGAAATATTCCCAAGTTAATCCACCTGCACAAATGGCAATAAAACTTAGACAGAACTGAAACACCGACAAAATCTTTACTCTGAAGTTCTGAGGGTCTGTTGCTATTTTTTGACAATTTATGGTTTAAGCAGATGAATAAAATATCAATCTGCAGATTAATTGACATTTAACTTCACCAGTTTCACAGTAAAGGCTTTCCACTGTCTTGTCATTTAAATGCATTTATTGTGAACAAAAGCAGAAAGTAGTGGTGTGGCATCAGCAATACGTTTACACATCAACAATAGCTCACTGCAGTAAAAAGGACCGAGTAGATCAGAAATGGACTGGACGTTTGGTTGATGCCTGACTTTCCTAATGAGATCTTTACTGGCACAGATACCGATCCAGCAGATCTGACCCGTGCTTCCCTCGTTATAATCATGACGAATGTTAAATACAATAATATAGTTTGTAACGCTCTTAAAGGCTCTTCTCCCTCATCTTGATCAGGAAAATTATACCAACTATTACCAACTGTTGACAATGTTGCGACTCAAACTGTTGAACACTGGAAGCCATGTAACTTAACGTTTGTCCCTGTGGGGTGCTTTGATGATATGCCACATGACGGTATTTATATTCTCTCAGTCTCCCCTGGCCCTTATTTGACTCAAGCCAAGTACTCCCACCTGACATCTGCTCCCCCACCATGAGGGTTTGAATGTGTTGAGGTGAGTTGTGTGTCAGTGTGAAAGCCAAATTATAAGCCAGTAATTGTCTAAAACCAGCGGGAATGTGTGTGTGTGTGTGTGTGTGTGTGTGTGTGTGTGTGTGTGTGTGTGTGTGTGTGTGTGTGTGTGTGTGTGTGTGTGTGTGTGTGTGTGTCTGGAGGATATATACATGGTCAGTAGAGCATTAGTAAGTTATGGGGATAGCTGTTAAATGAACCATCATTGCCAGCTAGTGTCACACAGACCCACACACAAAAACATGGTTAAGACTGCTAGCTTCACATGCTATTAAATTGTTATAGTTTCTTTATAGATTTTGCTCCTGGAGCAGGATTTAGATCATGATCTAAAGTCACATGACAGATGTAATTATATAAATAAATAATAATATTAGTCAAAGGACAAAATTCTCAATACACACACACCTGTGAGTTTGACCTGAGCCTCGTAGTTGCCACTGAAGGAGGAGTCTGTACTCGGCGTTTGACACCAGTAGAACCCAGCATCAGTCGACTTCACCTCCGCTATCTTCAGCTCCACCTCGTCGTCCTGGAGCCGCTCTACCGCGATGTCGCCGGATGCGACACGCTTGCTAAACAACGGGTCGGGGTACCCGGTGTCAAAGGTGGAAATCATCTTTTTCTGCGCCCCGGTCGCCTCCCTGGACATCATCCACTCAAAATCCTGTAGTGGCATTACAATCATCCACATGTCGAAAAGTAGGTAAATGTGTGACTTTAATGCTCTGAAGAGGATGAGCTAAGAATTTAATAAAAACGCTACAAGCTTTCCCCTGGAGCCAACCTCAGGCTAAACTCCGTCAAAAAAAGACATCAAACAGTGGTCAGCTGTCCATGAGCAACCAACATCACAGTCCTTTTGATGTATGTTTAACACAACAGGTTTGAGGTAAGAATATTTCAAGAACCAGTTGCCGCTCCCTCCACGTTCAAAAGAGAATACTAAAAATGCCGTACTCATGACAATTAAACAGCTCTCTAATTGCAGGGAACTCTGGGATCTAAAAGTGGGACAACAGTGCAGAAAAGGCTGAGAATTTTGTACTATACAGACAAACATACAGTCAACTCCTGTTTAGCTAATGCTTGCTTAAAAAATATTTCCCAGCTGCATTGGGAATTTAACCTTTTTAAAAACTATATATTTGTGTCCCATTTTTAAAAGATTTACATATCTGAAGATCTAAACATTTTCAGTAGGATCCATTGGACCACAGACACATTGTTGGTTCTAGTCTTTTCATCAGAGTTGTTGACAATAGCAAAAATACAGAACATCACCAGTTTTATCCTTTAAAACTGATCAGTCTGTCAGAAAGATAACATGCACCCAGATGTGATATGGAGTTATAAAAGAAATGTACCTGCTCAGGAGGTCCCGAGTAGTCCTTGACATCACATGTGATGGAGACAGGCTGACCCTCCACCCGGATTAAAGGACCAGGAGACACTGTCACCACCCGGGCCAAGCACCCACCTTCAGGGACAAGAGAGAATTTTTGTAAAAACAAAACATAAGAATAACAGAAACAAACAAGTGTACTGAGGTTGGGTCTAACATATCTATCTTTATAAAATTGTAAAATTAAATCTTCCGTTTTTATAGAATGAATAGGTTGTATTCAGATATTGTTTAAGAAAGCATTATGCTCTATTGCATATCTCTGACATGCTTGTGAGCTATGAACTAGCTAGCCCCTTAGGTCATCTGGACCAGTCCGGCTGGTTATTCCCTGACTTTTAAAACCTTCCTTTTTAGCTGCGCCTGTCAGAAGTCTGGTTTGCTGGTCTTAACTAATATTTGATTCTTACTCGCTTCAGTGGTTTTAACACAAACTCAAATTTGTTATTTGTATCGGTCAACTGTTGGTCTAAATTATAGTTCAAGTCTTTTGTCTTATCTGTCTGTTTTAATGTGTTTACTGTACAATCTTTTTTCGTGGCTGCAACTTCCGTGGTAGCTCCCGCTCTGTGCAGCACATTGTGCTTTCACCTGGAATGAAATGTGGTATATAAATAAAGCTCTGCTTTTACAAGCAAGCATAAGCCTGATGACTAGTAACAGACTAAAAGGACTGTCAGCATTAAAGCATTAACACATCTGTAAGCTAAATGCCTCACTGGCTGGGATGATGTTGACAACTCTGGCCAAAACTTACATGGATACCAATCTCACTTAGACACACGCACCAACACACAGCATGTTGCAACTTGTGTAGACCTGAACAGTAACGACAATGATGATGCTGCTAAAACCTGAATTGCATTCGCCGTATGCATGTATTTCTACACACAAATACTTGTGCCCACATCATTTTGTTTGGCACGGACTCTCACCACTGGTTACGTATGTCAGCACTCTGGCAGATTTCAAAGATTAGCAGAAAAAACAAGAGAGCGTGAGGTTTATATATAAAAGTAACTCTCTGATTTTGTTTCCATTGTTCACCATATAATTAGTGCTCTTTAGTGAGATTGCAAGGTTTGTGGTTTTATCAAAATCTAACCATCTGGTTTACATTGTTCCTCAGTTGAGTGTAAAACTCTGACATTCCAGCTGAGTGAAGCGTGTAGTGACAGAGCAGACTGACTGAGCTCAGCAGAGTTAGTTGGCGCAGTAACCCGTTGCTTCCATGCTGGTGAAATCTGGCTGCAGGCCTACACACTCCCAACTCCTACCCTGATGTCTGCACTCAGATAAGCTAAAAGGTATAGTGGAGATGCTACATGCTGCTGGAATTGTTTGCGTTACTAAACTACAGTTGAACACAGTCGGTTTCTTGGCAGGTTGCTCACTACATTATTCACTTTGAGGATAATAATACGCTCAAGGTTGTGTTCAGGTATTGACTTTATGTACTTTTTGTAACAGAAATCTTTACCACCTGTACAAGTAAAAGTGTCAAGTAGTAAAATCTGGCATCAAATGTTCACATTCTTAATTCTGCCAGTGTTATGCAATTTGATGTAGGTAAAGCTCTGGTACAGGTGCTTGTGTTGAAGACATTTTTCTATCATTTACTACATCATAAGTTTTGTTGTTGTAGCTCTGTATTCGGGATGCACTGATCTAATCTTTTCTCTCCTGACACAACATCTAACACTGGGTATCTGCCGATACAGAGTACCAGTCTGATACTGGCGCGCTCTTTTCTCCCCAAAATTTAAAGTTAATACATCACTAGAAACTAAAACATTTTAGAAGTGTTTTTGTAAAAAAAACAAATGTCTTCTTCCATAGTCTTATTTTAACAAAAATCTGCATCAGCTTTGTTTTGTTTTTTAAAAAGTGCTTCATAAACAAGTCCTGAGCTTGGATGGTCCATCAATACTTTTTGGCAGTTGGCCTGGTGTTATGCGAGTGAGCCTGCTGAGCGGGAGCTTTTTTCTGCTTTAGTAAGTAGCAATGAAATAAGCAGCACTTCAAACCTACTGCATGTTTCTGCTTCTGTTTAGGGTTTTCTGTCAGGAGGACATGTGGTCTAGGGTTTACTTTATCTTTGTATCAGATAAACCAGAGGCCGATGGATTCCTCACACTTCTGACAGCTACAGTGAAAAACAATGACTCATTTAACACTTGGGAGCTATACGATGTCACACAAGTATAAAACTTCAAACTGCACCATGGGGGTTGTTGCCATTCCTCAAGTTAATATGACAAACTGATTCACCCAACTCGAGAAAATCCAGCATGAAGAGTGCCTGAGGTTCAGCATCCCAGACATGTCTGCAGGTTTTTCTGTACCACTGAGACATCAAGTTGAAAAAGGTTTAATTCAAAAATTAAGTTAAATGGTCACTATATGTGATTAATTCCAACTGCTTAAGGAAAACCTTTACGTCCTCTCTACACTTTACACACAGTCCTGTCCTGCGCATTAAAAGGCGCAATAAGATTTCTGCTGTGCCATGTCACAAAATGACCATAATGTACAGTATATACCGGCATGTTGGTGAGGAGTGATAGGGCCATTCATCACTAAAATAAGAGACTCAAAGCTGCTGGGCCAGGTGCTGAGATTTACAGTTTTCAAACTCAATTTCCAGCCTAACTGTGTCTGTCTCTCCTGGAACGAATACTGCACAGCCAGCGGAGCCTGAAGACACCCAGAAAGTTTAATAATCAAAGCAAGAATCTGATCAAAAGTTGGACAGTGTGACATTTTTATGCCACCACGGCCTGGGCGGGCATGTGCCAGCTCGAGGCAGAGACGGGACGTGAGACGACCGGAGGTGAAGAGGGATTGGTTCACTCCCCCGACTCCCTCCAGGCACCAGTCCAGAGTCAGGTTAAGTGGATTTGGACTGGTTAAAACTAGACCGCAAGTCAGTTTTCTCTCTACTTCTCAGGTTGGAAATCTAATTTCTCTGATGTTGGGTAACCACAAGATAAAACTCAGGGGTCACACGATGATTAAAGATCAAATTACTTTTCCTGATAAGATTGACAACTCATGTCTGTGCGGTAAATGTGAAGCTACAGCCAGGAGACTGTTAGCTTAGCATAGCATAAAGATAAGAAACAAAAGGGAAGCAGCAAGCCTGGCTCTGTCCAAAGGTAACAAAATTTGCCTGCCAGTGCCTCTAAAACTCACAGATTAACATGTAATAGCTTGTTTTTTAATCTGAACAAAACCAATGTGTAAAAATTACATGTTAAGATTTTACGGGATTTTACTATTTAAAACAAGAGCGGACCTGTGCGAAGCCATTTCTTTACTGATAGATGGAACAAGGTCAGTTTGATTTGATGGGAATTACCACAATAAGTCAGTTTAGGTATGGATCTAGACATACGCTCATTTGAACACTGAAAGTCTGAAAAGTACAAGTTTTGTGCTATGAATTCTTCAGTGTTACAGTAGATCAGTTTCATGGTTGAGCCCTTTCAGCCTTTCACCAACAATAAATCAACTCATTGCCCGCATCAAGCAGCTATTTCTGGTAACTGATTAGATTTTTTGGATCTACATAAAACACAACAATCAAAGGGGTAAGAACACTTACTTCCAACATGGTCAAATGAAACAGATTTTACAAGCTAAGATATAATCATAAAAACATGTCAGACACATCTGTGCGACACTACGCTAAAAACATTAGGGCAGCCGCGATTGTCAGACTAAAATGCAAATGCTGTTACAAGAAATGAAACTGAAAGTCTGGTGGTCACATTGAAGGGGAAGTCAAGGTCCGACCAAGCGGCTCTTCATCCTCTTGGGAATTTGAATGTGCAAAGCAAATTTCATGCCATTGTGGCCACGATATGTTGGCAACCCAAGACACTGCAAAAGTGATAGTTCTGGATTTTTAAGAGAGACTGTATGAGGTACTTATCCGTAGTCAGTGTATTACCTGCAGTAGATGGCGTCCCCATTTTGAATAAGCAGAGTTGTACAAGTACGGAAGCTAAACAATGTCCTGCTGTGGACAGAGTCAACAGCAAAAACTATTTTAGCCCCCTAAAGGCCCACCAAAAAAACTAAAACAAATTTGTATCAGTCCAAGTATACGCTATATTTGGAATATTTTCAGCGCTTAACAGCGCTTGAATTTTGCAGATGCTCTTTTCCTTTATACTGAGCGCAAGTTGTGTTTATGCATAGAAATACTGAAGGTATAGGAAAAATGTTGTACCAAAGGAAATGGCTGTCTGATGGCAAGGTAAAGCGCTGAAAATGTTCAAATAATAGGGTACACAGATTTTTTCCCTTTGGGCCTACTTTTAAGTGGCTGAAACACATGTTGCTGCTGACCGTGTCCACAGCAGGACATTGCTTAGCTTTGGTACCTGTACAACTCTCTGCTTCTCCAAACTGGGGATATGCTGACTGCCATCTACTGCAGGTAATGCACTGACCATGGATAAGTACCTCACACAGCCCCACTTCAAAAATCCTGAACTATCTATTTAAGGACTAGGTCCCAGAGCAGGTTAGCAACATCTTCAGAGTTATTGCATGCTGTCAAGAGTGTAACGCGGTCTGTGTTATTAGCGTTGAGTTTAGCTGAAGCATGACAGACCCCACGTTAGTTAAGGACGTCATTGGGACACTGTGGACCACTTTAACATCTGCAGCGTCAGGATCATGGTCAGGATACACTCACACACACACACACACACCTACAGGAAAACACACCACAGGAGAGCTGGCGACATTTGATCATCTTACACAGCAATAATTTAAGCCATCTCACATACACAGACACACTCACATGACAGCTCCTATGACGTTCACCGTTATGCTCACAAACATATGGCAACTGCATTGGTAAACCCTGTTTAGCCTGGTTTGGCCCCGAGGTAGGCCAATGAACAAGTCCTGGATTGTCCCTGTGGTGAAAACCAGCCTGATAATTAATCAGCAGGGTTTGACTCTGGTATAAATACAAGGCTAATTGTGATGACCAGACCAGTTGGACTTCCAAGAGTACTCATGGGACCTTGTCAAAGCTGGTCACCTCATGTTGGCCAGTTGGTCTTAATGGAAGTTCAGCCTTCTTGACAATGAGGCTGACTGATAATCAGACTTTGACTACTGTATGTTCTCTTTCTCCCTTAAAATAGTATTTTCTCCTCCCCATGACAGAACTGTCACTCACACAGACTGTTTTCCATTTAAGTTAAATAACACAAAGGAGGGTTTTATGTCTTCAATTCACTACATTAGCTAAACGCAATTGTACAGCAGCTTCACCACAGTTAATTTAACCTTACCGATAGGTGCAATTCACCCTCCCAGGGTGAATCATGCCAAATTCAGTTTAATATTATGGCGTATGGCAATATTGCTTGTCGTCACATGCAGACATCTCTGACAACATATGTTATTAAATTATTTTAAAAACCCTGTATTCACTCTTCAATTCGGCATAATCCAACACATAAAGCAACGCTTATGTTTCACTTACATTTGAACTTTTTGAGTATGTTTGCTTGTTGAACTCCTGAACTTCTTCTTCCATCAGAATATACAGCGCATGGCAGCAGCAGTGTAAGCCAGTTTAAAAGGGTTTTAAATAAATTGAAATTAAGTGTTGTATGATGGATTGGCTATAAGCCGAACTGGCTAATAGGTGTGAAAGATATGGAAAATGTTGGATATTTTACAACGCATGTAACTTACGTGCGCCGACAAGCAAGTGAACATTTAATTGACGTATTTCTAAATGCAGTTCAACATTGGTTACTCGCTGGAGAATGTCGACACGTATGGCAGTTAATTAGCTGCTTGTAGTCAAGCAAAGAAACGTTTCTTACCGAGCATTAAAACACCAAACACGAGCGTGAGGAGGCAGTTATCCATTTTCATTCCTGTCCTCAACCACTCTTATCTTTTGTCCTTAATTTCCCCCCGTTTTCTTTGTCCTGTGTGTTGGGGGGTAACGCCAGTCCTCCCCCGCCGCTGTCGGTCAATCCAATAAAACTCTCAGATCTGAGCAGTCAGTCCGCACCGGACACCGGGCGGAGCCGCAAAGCAAAACGGATGCACGCCGAGGTGGCTAATCCAGTAAAACGCAGTCCAAATGCCGACGGGAGCGTTTACACACACTGACACTGAACCGCTCTAATGTGTGCATTGAATGAGGGCGAGATTGATAGAGAGGCTGAGAGAGAGAGAGAGAGAGAGAGAGAGAGAGAGTGGCCGGAAGTTAGGTGACGGTTCTGAAGGAGGAGTGCAGGAAAGCAGGGAAGTCCCAGGTAGAGAGAGAAATAACCCCAAATCAGTCTGTCACAAAGTTTATGGTGCAGAGATTAGTCTTCGTTACATGTCAGATATTGTCCAGTAAGTGTGGAGCTCCTCTGATGTGATTGATTCCTCGCTCATACAGATTCAATTACTCCTGCTTGTCTATAAATCTCTTAGTGGTTTATCTGAACGCTGTTATGAATTTGAATCTTGGAATTTGAAAAAAAAAATCAATCATGACCTCCAAAGTGCCAAATGGTACAACATTTTTTGGGAAAATACACTTAACCTCACATGTCTGTATGGTAAATATGTAACTGGAGCCAGCCAGTTAGCTTAGCTTAGCATAAAGACTAACTAGATCTTCCTAAAGTCTCCACTGTCTGCCTGGAAACTGGTCCCCTCTATGAAATAGTCACACAACTTCCCAAATTGTAGATTTTACCCTTTTTGCATGGCCCAAACATACGAAATATAACGTGTTCCTTTGTGAGCTTTAGACGTTCTGGTACTGTTAACCTTTGTACCGAGCCAGGTTAACTGTTTGCCCCTGTTTCTAGTCTTAATGCTTAGCTAACTGACTGCTGGCTCCTGTTACATTAATTTAACAAGCAGACACTAGAGTGGCTTCAGTCTTCTTATTTAACTCTCAGCGAGAAAGTGAATAAGAGTATTTCCCAAAATCTTTATGTCCAGCGTAGGCGTTATGCTGGTCTATGCTGATTTTCCAGCAGGGTCACTTTGATAAACACAGCTTCCTCCATATTTCATAATGTATGCCTACATAGATGTTGCTAAATTTTGATACTGGATATTTTAAGTTTAGAGCATGGTGAGGTGGAGTGTTAATGTGGTGTGTTTAGGGACAACAGGAAGAAAAGCCTGTTTTGGTGCCCTGTGGAGTTTCCTTGTGAACAAACAAAAGTTCAGTTCAGTTCGTTTACATTCAGTCTTTCTCTGTGTATCCTTGAGGTTCTAACAAATGTGTTGAACGAATTTCCTTTCTCATAAAAGATCAACAACATAAAAGCATTTAAATCCAGCATTGTTTACATCCATGTTCACTTGCTAGCAGCCAACTTCTTCTTCTCCTTTTTTAAACACTTTGAATTTATGCAATTAAACCTGCTTTACAGTTTCCAGTAAGCTACTTTTTTTTTAATCATAGAGGAAGAAGCCTGTCCGTTGGATAGATGCAGGTGGTTATTGTAAAAGCCGCAAACTCAAATTCTGGTTTTCAATTTTTAACTACTGACAATGCATGACCACTTCATGTAACTGGCAGCTGCATTGTGTGGGTTCGTAATGAAGACACTGTGACACCAGGACTGTCTCAAAGTGAAATGTAATAAAGCAGAACCTCACTGTAAAAACAACTGTCCCACACAAATTAAGTAGTTACATGACTGCGTATGCATCATCAGTGCCAACAAATACAATATATATAACAAACCATCAGAAACAATAGCATGAATTTTAAAGTTAAATGCTAGAAATGAAATCCACCTCTACCAAGAGTAGAAAGGGAGGAGATGGAAATAATAGCAGGCACCAGAGAAGAAGAGATGACAGAGGTGGGGACTAAAATACACAGTTTACACATTCTAACAACGCTATAGATGTTTTTGTAATTATACAAACAATATGATCATACAAGTGACCCAGTAACACTGAAATAAATTCCTGTGAGAACTACATATTAGAATGAATTGCCTTTTAAAAACGTAGCTGTTTTAAATGGTTTGAAACAATATTCCAACATCCATATCTCCAAAAATGTTAATTTCCCCTGCATGCCGCTTTCTTTAACAAGGTTGACACATGCCTGTTGCCAGTTCCAGTCCTGTGACCGGGCCCACGCTGTGTATTTACACAGACCCACCACGGCAGGGCAAAGTTCACCGTTCAGACAGAGAGGGGAGGAGGAGGTGAGATGTTTGGGTTTATAACCTCCGGGTCAAAAGTTACATCATGGTGGGTCAGCTGGTGGGATACATTATGTGAGGATCCTATTTTTAAAATGCGTGTGGGGCACAGAGGAATCAAACCAACGTGTGACACATACTACTGTATGTAGTCTCAACACGGTGGCTTCTGTTCCTCACACAACATCTGTTCAAACAGACGCACACAGACACACACCGGACACAGTCTTATCTTACTGCCTACTCCTCCATCAGTCATTAACCAGGTCAAGGCACTGGATCTTAATGGACTAACAGTCTTTTATTTCAAACCAACCATGATGCATTTCAGATGATAAACCAGACTTGAAATCTCTTTACCATTTCAGACTTGTTTACTGTAAGAAAGCAGGATCAAAAAAGCTAAAAGCTGCAGGCAAAGAATAATGTGGTAATGTACAGAGTCAGAAAACTATAAAATAAAACATCATACCAGCATCAAAAAGTTTTAAAACCTCAGTTTGAATGTTTGTACTTGCAGTAGTAGTAAGCTTTAACATGGATTCAATCTTTTTATCTATACAGGCAGATCTGTTCTTGTTATAGCAGCAATGCATCAACCTTGTGAAAGAGGCTAGTTTGGTCATGTTGTATGGTTGGAGGTAAAGGGATTTATAAAGTTGTTCAGAATTCATTGATTTAAAGTGAAATCTGACAACTTCTCCCCCTCACTTTAATGATTTAATTTTTAAAAGCTTGGGTGAGATGTGACCGTTCTGCACGGTTTGGTGCATTTTCATTCTTTTTCAAAAGGAATTTTAAATGATCATTCAACAACAACAAAAAAAAAAAATCAGGATTGAAGAAGAAACCAATTTGAAAAAAATGCATTCATGCAATAAACTTATATCACTGAACATCAATGAAAATATTTCTATTGATCGTACACCTTGTGTCTGCACGCTGAATTAATTTGTCTTCTCTTTATGCATTTGGGTTCACTGGATGGTGATTTCAGTGAGAGGAAAAATAGAATAAAGTTAGATTAAACTCTTGGGACAATTACAGATCTAAATTCACTATCACTATCAACCTCAGTTTGTTGTGGTGCGACAATTCACCTTAACATGACCATGCTGACCTATTGTAGAAAACATGGACATGTAGCACCATCTTCTGGAGCTTGGACATCACAGATTTAGGAAAGTGCTATTAATGCATAAAACCTTAAATCTGGACAGTAATCTTAAAGCAGGGTGAGGATAATTTTCTTGGACTTGTTATATGTGTTTTCTCTGTGGTCTGTGTCATCACCATCATGACTTATATCACCTAGAACTTTAAAACAATTACAACTCACTTCTAATATATTGATCTGATCACGTTTATAGATTGGCATTGGCATGTATTTTTTTCTTTTTATTAAAGCCAGTGAGTTTTGAAAGGAGGATTAGGGGGTTGGTGATTCACTAAAAAGGTAACACTTTAGTTTGACTACTGTTACAACTGATCCCAAACTTCAGCTGACCGGCTCTGTGGACATGAAGCTACAGCACCATCTAGTGGAGATAATAAGTCAATACAAGTAAAAAGCTGAAAATGTGACGTTTTCTTTTAGTTTGTTCTGGATGCCTTTTGATAGATGTTTCTAACTTAAATTTATTCCACTGCAAAATGAAACAGTATTAAATAAAAAGGTGCACGCTGTGTTACCAATAAATCAATGCCAATAAGGAATCAATATGTCTACTGAGGAACTGAACGCTAACATCTACCTGTAGTTACAGCTGTAGGAAAGAATGACAGAGTATTGGCAGAACAGCAGGATTAGTGACATTAATAATAAAGTAAGTAGCAAAGTACAATAATTAGACATAGAAGTAGAATAAACAGAATAAATCCCTGACAATAGAGACTGATATGTATAGAAAATATAGTGCTTGTACATCAGTATTCCCCGTCAAGGTGATAATTTTATGCAATGTGTGGCAAGGTGCTAGGATGGTGCTCGCATATATTAACAATGAATACAGTTTTAGGCTGGTTTGTTCCTGGCTGATGTGTTATCAATGAATCCCATAGGTCTGTGGTTCCCAATCAAGGGGTTCGGACCGCCTAAATAGGTCGCAAGATAAAAGTCATGTGAAGAAGGAGATGATAAATTATGGCTCTTTTGCATCGCCATGATGACTCATTATTCATTATTAAACAGGAAGTTGTCCAATCTGCCCCACTTCTAACATTTTGGTAAGACTCCCACATTTAAAAAAAGTTTGCTGTGTCTCCATTGACATACACATTTTTTCTGAAGTAAATTCCCATGGAAGGGGAGGGACTTAGACTCTTAACTCTAGAGTTACAGTCACTGTGCTACCTACTGGCAAAAGGAGGTAAGTGTTGTGAGAATCATCCTTTCATTTACATGAAAATTTCCCGATGTGGTCCACACTTGATGTACTGCAACATTTTTATGCTGTAGTATTATTGTATAATTAGTGAATGTTCTGTAGGGACATTTAAGTCCTTCCAAAACACACTAATTTTCAGAGCCGTTCCAATAACTCCTGTTGTCTTGTGAAATAATGATAAGTTTTAGGCTTCTACAAAATGTTTAAACAAAACAATTTGAGAAGTAAATAAATTTTAGAGTCATCGATGTGCAATAAACGCTCAACTTTTGGATCAATGTTTAAAACAACTGTTCACACATTACACTGGAAACTATGACAAGAGCATAATATATTAAGAGGGAATGAAAGGTGTGACAATCATTAAACAGCAGGACTGCGTGGGTGTGGTGTAACAGCAGTAAAACATTATGAGGCAGAGAAGTAGTGAAGAAAATTAAAATGCATTCAAATTCATGAAATAAAAGATCACTTCAGAATAGCTGCAAAAATTTCTTTGATGGTAAATTTGGTAATTTTCTGTTGATATAAAGCTGCAAGCATACAGGAAAACCTCTCTCTCTCTCTCTCTCTCTCTCTCTCTCTCTCTCTCACA